CCTAAGGCCACTTCCCAACCCACTCCCGCCTTCCCGAAAAACTAGATTGGTCTGCTCTGCCTGGCCCCTTACCCTAGGAAGGGGAGCCCCAGATCTATGGGTAGAAAGGCCCAGGCCAGGCCTGATTCCTCAGGTGACCGTGGCCTCTGGCATCAGCATCTGCACCCAGTCCTAGTTTTATCCTAGCTGTTTGTAGACTTCCAGCCCTCTGAAGCTGCCCACCTTACCCAAAGTTAAGAGGGCTCTTCCCTGTGGTCATCTAGCAGAAGCTTTTGCCTCCCCAGTGGGTAGATTTGGAAATCACTCTGGCAGCCTCAAGCCTCCATATGCCCAGCTTCTCTGCCCACTGCTGGGCTGAAGGTCATGCCAGGTTCAGTAACCTCATCCCAGGTCCCTTGGGGACCTTGAATATCCCTCATCTGCACTGCCTCATTGGGTCCCAGCCCTGTACCTCAAACAGCTGATGAGCTCAGTCTGCGACCTTATTCCTATTGGCCACAATTTTGTGTTGAACCCTGCATCTGCCATTGCCCATCTCATTATAGAAACATTACCTGGCATAGGTTATACATGATGCATCCAGTCCTCTTAATGATTGCACCCCAGAGGTTGTGAGAAGGCCCTTACTTTGTCTCAATCCCTGATGGAAAGAGGACTAGATTTGTCATCACTCCGCTTCAACTTGAGTCATAATCTAGTAGCCCCCTCCCTGAGCCCCTTTTTCTGGTCTTTCTTGGTCCAGAAACCACCACTCTGTCAGAGAGTGCTCAGGCAAGCTCCATAAGCCTGGACGCCCTCATCTGAACCTGGAGCATTCCCTCCAAATTCCTATTGCATTGGAGTAAGTGACCAAGTCCCAAGGTGACTCAAACTGAGATCAAGGCTGGCCGTGATTACCATGGGGCTTTTAAAAAGATTGGCATAAGCCCTGGCTGGCGTAGCTCAGTGGACTGAGCGCTGGCTGCGAACCAAAGCATCGCAGGTTCGATTCCCAGTCAAGGCATATGCCTGGGTTGCAGGCCATGGCCCCCAGCAACTGCACATTGATGTCTCACTCTATCTATCTATCTCCCTCTCTCTCTCTCTTCCCCTCCCTTCCCTCTCTAAAAATAAATAAATAAAATCTTTTAAAAAAGACCTGAAGTAACAAAATTAAAGAAACTGCTAAAAAAAAAAAGATTGGCATAGTCATTCCTCATCTCTCCAAAACCAGCTCCCTGTCAGTCTCGATGTTCGCATAGTTCAGTTATGAACCAGGAAGAAACATACAAACACAAATGCCTTCGAACAGATTTGCTTTGGTAAACTTTACTTTATATTCATTCTACCTAGCTTGGCTATTCAATTTCTAACTCCATAATATTTGAGGAAAAGCAAACTAAAGAGAAGGTAAGCAGCAGCTACAGGAAGTGAGCATCAGGAGGTGAGAGCCTGAGAATGATCACACAAAGGCCTGGAAAAGTGCAACATCTCAGATCCCTGTGCATCTGGCTTTACCTCGGAGCATAGTAACTGGTATTCAAAATGTAACCCCAAGTCACACATAAACATGGGTCCCTTTCAGCATGCTCCCTAAGAATGCCAGGTGTTTGCAAAGGAGCCCCAGCCCTCCGAAGGCTGCCCACCTTGCCCAGAGTTGAGAGGGCTCCTTGTTGCTGTCCATCCACCAGAAGCTTTTGCGCAGCAATGCTGGCACCAGCAGTGTGGGTCAATTCTCATCACTCAGATGACATTTCTCAGAAACTAATCCAAATGCATTTTTACTGTTGATACATTTATATGCCAATATATTTAAAACACAAATATTGTTGCTTTTGCCACATATGTGATAGTTTCTGAAACTAACCAATGAAGGAAAAAGAAAACTGGACCAACAAACTATTAATGACTTAAGTTTTCTGTTTAACTTCACTTTCCTCTTCTGTAAAATGGAGTATATAATACTCACCTGAAGTACTGCAAAAGATTACATTGAATATAGAATGGCTATATGGAAGTTCTACCTACATAAAGGAATAAGAAGTATGTTTTACTGTGGTAATAATACCTCTTATCTAGATGAAGTTATGGGTTAAAATTACAACAGGCAGGAAGGAAAATTACAAGTACATAATACTCAAAGGTTAGAGATTAGGTATATCTTCCAGACAGATAATTGATGAGAACTGGGCAAACTCACAGAGGGCTTACAGCCAATATTAGCAATTGCCATTCTCGGAGAGCTAGCGACACCTACTGTGCCCTAACTGTACTGCAATTGACCTGGAAAATCAGATGACATCAAAGCCGCCGTGACTCGTTTACCATTTTAGTCAGGCACAAAACACTACTGCAAAAATAAAAATTAAAAGCAATCATAGAGTATTTCCCCTGGAAAAATCACTATTTTCTCACAGTTAAGAATAACTTGTATTTTTTCATATTCAAATGTAATGCATATTAATTGTAAAAAATAAAGATCGTCCAACATCACTATCAACATTAATTTGAGCCACTACCACTGCCGTTGTCATCGTAGCTCTCTCTTCATTCTTCTCCTTTCTTTTCCTCTCTCTCTCTTTCTTCCCCCCACCCCCATATGCATATTGTAAAAAAAAAAAAAAAGTAAAAATTCTTCATCAGAGAAACCGTTGTGAACAGCTTTGTGTGTGTTATCCACACATTTTTATGAAGTGGATTATCTGTTACAAACACATGGGGAACTGTGGGGCATTTCACAAGAGGCTGTCAGAAAAAAACTTACAGCACCTGGGCTTGTGCGAGGTGGTTTGCAGGAGGCTTTAAGGAAGCAGGGCTTTGCACTCGGTATTGTCAGGAAGTGGGGTAATTCTATGACCAGGCACCTTACTAAATCTTGTCCAGAAGGGGGGTCAACAGGCATGATGCTGGAGCTGATGAGGCATCAGTAAAGGGGCAGCAGCCCCTCTGATGAGCTGGGACAGGTGGAGGCTTGGTCACTTGTGTGGTTTGGATAATGTGCCTGTTTTGTGTGTGCAGATATGATTATGCAGGGGTCTTGCTCTTTCTCAGTCTGCCACCTCACAGCGTGGCCTTGGCAGACCTTGGTGTTCTGTGAGGCAGAAGGGCAAGGGCTCTGTGTGACACCACGCCAGCTCCCGGCTGTCTTGCTGTTCTTCTGCCTTATGGCTTCCTCTTTTTTTTCACTTAACATTGTACACATTATTTTTAGTCATTATTGGGGTTATTTAACCAAATTTCTCCTGTGGAATAATTATATTTTTCTAATATTTTAGACTTATAGTTAACACTAAAATGAAAGCCTTTAGAAATATCTCTTTGTACACTTGTACTGTTATTTCCTTAAAATAAATGTTCAGAAGTGTAATTACTGAATCAAATGATATATACGTTTTAAATTTTAATGGCTATTAAGATAGAATGCCTTCTGTAAAGATTGTACTAATTTCACTCCCAACAATAAATTACCGAATTTCCTCCCAAACCCTTGTCAGCACAAAGATCATTCACCTTTTTGGTTTTTAAAATATGTTTATTGATCTCAGAGAGAGAGGAAAGTAAAGAGAAATATTGACTGTTTGCTTCCCATACACACCCCAACTGGGGATCAAACCCACAACCTAGGCATGTGCCCTGATGAGGGATCAAACCCTAGGAATTTTGGTGTACAGGACAATGCTCCAACCAACTGAGCCACCCAGCCAGGGGTCTTTCACCTTTTTAAAAATCTTTGCCAGTTTCATAAACAGAAGAACATTTTATTTTTAAAATTCTTATTATGTAAAATTAGATACAGAAAAGAAAACAAATGAAGCATGTATGTCCTAACAGACTGACTACTTTGTCACTAGACCACATTAGACTGTGTGAGGGGAGTCCAGTCAGGGGGTACAAAGGCCTTGACTGGTGTCTCGGGTCTGTTTCACAAGCTGCCAGGTCAAAGAGATGTCAGCAGAATGCACTGTCACTGGGTTCCTCAGGACTCAGCACATACCTTGACAATAATGCTTTTCAAAGTGTGATTATTGGCTCACTTATTTGCCTCCCCGCTGAATTAGGAGCTTCACGGGAGTCAGGACAGCATTTTATTCTTTTTTTTTTTTTACTGTGATAAAATATTATGTATATAACATCAAACTTACCATCTTTACCATTTTTAAGCACACAGTTCAGTGGTATTAAATACATTCATAATGTTGCGCAACCATCACTACTGTCTATTTCCAGCACTCTGTCCTCCTTGTAAAACTAAAACTACAGGTCCCTCCCCACCTCACTCCCAGACCCTGGCCACCACCGTTCTGTAACAGCTCCTGTCTCTCTGAATTTGACTGATCTAACTGCCTCACATAGGTGGAATCATATGCTATTCGTCTTTTTGTGCCTGGCTTATTTCACTTATCATAATGTTCTCAAGGTTCATTCATGTTGTAGTGCATGTCAGGATTCCCTTCTTTTCAAGCAGTGTGTGTAAGAAACATGTTTTAAACCAGTAAGAGTATGGGGTTGTGTATTACCACATCATAACAAAACCTGTCCCAACTGATACAGCAATAAGTACTCAAAAGGATAAGAACTTAGGAGCAAAGCTGCTAATGGCAGTTTTGTCATAAACCTTTGTAGAGGTAGCATGTGGACACTTTAGTTTGTCAACTAGGGCACAAGAGGTTTATGTTTCCTTCTTTCTGAGGACAATTACCTAGGACTGGCAAAGTGATCACACAATCTATGGTAAGCTACAGTATTATTTTGATGAAATCAGACAAATTGTATAAACCCAGTAAATCTGAGAGGTGATAGGTTTCAAGACTGATAGATTAATACAGTGGATATGAGTGGAGAGACCTATGTCAGGGGAAATGGCTTCTGCAAAGGGCTGGAAGAAGGCCCTCCTTCTTCATTTTAGGCACCTAGTGCTCATTCAGCTCTACCTTCCTGCAGCCAGTTCTGCTCTGTCAGTCTGTGGGCCAGCTCATAATGCAGACACTCCAGACTCAGCTGATTTTAGAAATGCTGATATTAGTTAAGGTGGGCATGAATGTTTCTCCACAAACTCATAGGGACAAAAAAAATGCATTACTTTATTTTTGTAAATCAATTTCACCTGTTCCAGAGCTCCTGGACACTTCAAAAGGAAAATATTTTTATCTCAGACATATTGGAAGGAGGCATCTTTCTCCCTAAACTTGAACATGAATTCATGAGACTTATGTGGCTCCCAGCAAAGCGCAAGAGAGTCTGGTTCCTTTGACTGGCACTGAGAAGCTCATTATCTGTGCTCACTCAGCCAAAGGGTAGGCAACTCTATCCTTCCACATCAAAGTATGGGCCACCTCATCCTCATCCTCAAGGCCATGACTGTGGCCAGCCTCCATCCCCTCCCTCCCCTCCATCCCACCAGAGCTAGTGTCACTTTGGGAGAAGCAGCATGGGAGCAGGGCACAGGTCTGTGTCACTTGAAGACCAAAACAGCCATCCTCACTCTCACCTCAGGGAAGGGCCACTTCTGCCTCCTCACTTTTTATAGAAGAAGAAACAGGAATTTACCTATCATAGTGATTAAGTGTGTCTTGAAAGGAGAGTATTAAAAACACGTGCTGAGTCTTTGCATTCTTGGGCTTTCGGGGGATAATCCGGTAACTCCATCTGAGGCTAATGAGAACCCCTTACTTGACAGATACCGTGTATGCCTGTGAAGGCCTGAGGCCTGCGCTTTCCCTGAGAGGTCTCTGCCTCAGCCTCTGACCACAGAAATCAAACCAGCTTCCTCAACACTTAACCCTCGGAGAGTACCCGCAGTGAACCTCTGCCCTGGAAGGAATTTATTGCCAGCCTCCTCTATTCAAAGGACTTACTCTCAAACCTGAGGGTGAGATGCTGGTCTTTGGATCCAGCATCAGTTGCTGACTTCTCCTGCCCCAACCATCATTGCAGCTACAGGGGATGAAAGCCCTCAGCTTGCGGTCCAGCACGGCCAAGTCTCAGAGTGCCAACTCTGACATGAATGAGGAGTGTCACACCCAGCAGGGGGCAGGTCCACGATTCATCTGTAGCCCCAAACCCCAGTCCCAGTGTATCTGTGGGAAACCCCAGTCCCTCAGACTGGGAACCAAGGAAAAAAAGAATTCCTGGCTTGCTCTTATTTCTCCACAGGGCCTGGAGCAGCCCTCTGAAATTGACCCCTTATCTTGGCTCTTCCAACCACCCCTGACCCCGTCTAACATCCTCAGGAAGCTAGATCCTTCTCTGTCACTTGCCCTTCCCCACCTTAACCAGGACCTGGTGTTTTACATCAGTCCACATCTCTGGAACCACACCTGCTGTCTACTGGTCACACAAAATGCCACATCCTGGGGCCCACCAGGGAGAACTTAAAAACTGCAGAAAGATTTCCTGTACTTTTTTTTTAAGATTTTATTTCTTTTATTTTTAGAGAGAGGAGAAGGGAAGAACATCAATGTATGGTTGCCTCTCGTGTACCCCCTACCAGGGACCTGGCCTGAAACCCAGGCATGTGCCCCGACTGAGAATTGAACCAGTGACCCTTTGGTTCGCAGGCCCGTGCTCAATCCATTGAGCTACACCAGCCGGGGCCAGATTTCTTGTACTTCCATTGCTAGCTCTTCCTCTAGTTGGTGAAAACAATCTTTAAAAATTCCAACCTCACCTCTGCTACAACCAAAAAAAAGGCAAGTCCCACCCCCACACACTTGAGACAGGCAGGACCTGTGTACAGTCTATTGTAACCATGACTGCCCCCCTCCGACAGGAGCAGAGTAGCTGGGCTGTCAGGGCCCAGCAGATATCAAAAGGACACTTTCCTGCCACCACTGAGGCCACCAGCACACTCGTGGGCTGCTGGAGAAAGCCAGGGAGCTGGGCATCTCCAGCAAAAGGATGTGAGTCAGCCTCCTGTTGGGTTGGAGCCAGTGCTGTGCTAGAGCTCGCTTGGCTCATGAGGGCCAACAGTGAGCATCACTTTCTGGCTCTACTTTCAGTAAGGTCACACAGATAGCAGTAGACCACTGGTTGGGAGTGACAAGCTGAGAGTTACAGTTTGGGAACCAGGGACCAGAGCCAAAAACAGAGGGGAATTTAGGAGGGAAGGCCACAAAGTGAGCAGTCTTTGGAGACGCAGGTAACACAAGCACAAGCCCCATCCCCACCCCTCTCCCTGCTGCTTTAATGTGGAGAGCCAGGCAGGCCCCTGGCTGCCAGGATCCTCACAACTGTCCCTGCAGGAACCCTGCACGCTCCTTCAGCTCCCTCACCCACAGATTCTCTCCCTTCCCACACGCCCTCCCCAGCCCAAAGATAATGCAATCAGTTGCTCACACTATTTCTCTAAAAATTGGCTTCACATTCCTGAGCTCTCACTCACTCTCGGGGCTTGAACTTTCCAACCAAGTGGTGGTTGTCCTCCCTTCATGCCCATTTCCATCCTTCCTCATTTTTCCTACATTGCTCATTCCATTTTCCTCCGACCACGGCCACTGTTCAAAAACCAAATGCCCAAATCCACCATGTTCAGATCCCTCTCCTCCTTGCAAAATTCTCCTCCTCCTCTCCTCGCAGAGACCCCAGCCCCCTTTGACATCTGCCCATCTCTTTTGCTCCCCACAAATGAACTAACCCATAACCTTGAGAGAGCAGAGGGAAGTGAGGATAAACCCAAGAACACCAGCCTTCCTTTGTTCCCATGTGGGACGAAGTCATTACTTTGGAATGTTCCCATGTGGAAATAAGTCATTACTAATAAGGTCACTAAGGTCAGACATATCTGAGGGCTATTAAAAAAAAAAAAAAAGCCCACAGGCCCTGTCTCCCATAGGCCTTAGACACTGGCAGCTGAGATATGCCAGAGATGGCCCAAGACAGAATGCCTGCATGAGGCAATGACCCTCCTTCCACCAAATGGGGCTTAAAGTGACTGCGTGTGTCATGGTTATCACTTGGATAAGCTATAGCATCACGGCCTAATGTCCAATTTTTACACAACCACCACCTCTTCTGGTACAGACAGTGCTTTATTGTTACACGTTCTCTCATTTAGTCCTGGCAGCAACCCTGAGGTAGTATTATTATCCCCACTTTACAGATGAGTAAACCAATGTCCCTAGGTTAGATTACTTGCTGAAGATCATGCACTTATTAGGGCACAGCCACTGATAATTCCAAACCCAAGGGGACTCTTTTGGGTAGTTCACAGGCTGCTGCCAAGGAAAGTAGAGCTGAAAACTTCAGCTGGGAGGGGCTGGGTCATTCACTGGAGCTCAAGGTGGGGCGAGGGGATCCCTCACCAGGGATGACTGAGGCACATTCACAGGCCAAGACCAGAACTGAGCAAGAGAAGCCTAAAGCATCTGTGAGTTGTGAAGCAGGAAGAAGTCTTTACGTTTGGTGGGAGTTGATAGTGTCTTCAGATATGCACAGAGCCCAGCTTCCAGGGACTGGAGAAATGAGATGCGTCCAGCAGCTGCAAGTCCAGGGGTGGCCACAGGGCAGGTGGGGTGGGGCAGGGGGAGCTGCTGCTGAGTGGCCCCATCTCAGCTTGGCCAGCAGTGTGGTGACCTTGGGGCAGTGGTCCTTTAACTTTGTTAAGGCCTTGAGAATCTGATGAGAGTCATATAACCTCCTCCCAGAAAAACATAGACACGCACATACAGACAACATTTTGCATACGGTTTCAGGGAGTCCGTGGACCCCACTGGAGAGCTGCTTTAGGGCAAGGGTGTCAACCTGAGTCAAGTCACAGATACAAACCTATCTTTAAACTGTTTGTATGCTTGTATTTCCCAGGACTGTTCCCCTTTTGTTGTTCCCTACTATTTAGAAGGTTGTGAAAATTATTTTTAATGAGAGCCAAGGAAAGGGAGTCCAGCCTATACTGCAGACAGAGAAAGGGCAGCTGTGCACGGCCCTGGTGGCAGCCAGGGGGCAAAAACAAACAGAAAGGTGGGGTCACATGTGCCACTGTCCTTCCACCCAGAAGGTCACTTTGGGAGGTATTCTCAACTCAAGAGCAGGGTGAGAAGTGATGGGGGCGTGGGGGTGCAGGCAGTGCTTTATTTTCTTTTAGAAAGGAAAGCCCTTCTGTCACTGGCTAGAGGGTCTAAAGCTCTGCAGGCAGTGCCCCCCTCCCAGCCTTCCCCTTTCTTCCCCCTCTGAATAAACCTGAGCAGTGGCCTAGTCATCCATGCACATTTGGCCAGGCCCTATGAACACTCATATATACACGTACTCTTTTGTGAAAGAAGGAAAACTGGGATGGAGGCAGATCTCAGGACAGAGAATCATGTTGTGATGCAGGGATCATGCACTCCCCACAGAGAACTAGATTAACTGGGAGAATCGGCAAAACCACCCAAGGACTCAGTGCACATGTACCCCCAACACCTCCACAGCTCCTCCTTCTGGCCAGGGTCCAACCAGAAGGCAAAGTCATAGCTATGTCTTATGTCCCTCTCCAAACTTACAGGCCCAAATTAGTGGGCCAGGGCTGAAGGGGGTCACAAGGGCTCAGAGGGCATGGGTGGCAAATGTCCTGATTCACTGCAGAAAGAAGTTCTTATCTCTCATGGGAACCAGGAGTCAGGACTCAAAGGGCTGGCCCCAAGCCCATCCAGGCCCAGAGAGGGCAGGCACTGAAGTCAAGTGATCACTCAAAGGCCAAACAGAACTCAGAGGCCATGACTGTCTTCCAGGCCCGGTGACCCCAGCATCCCAGGGGTCATTCCACTAAGGTGTGGAATAACCACTGATGCATTAGTCACTCATGCACTAGTGGTCACTTGCCCAGCCCTAAATGGAGGTTTCATCACATGTTGCCAGAGGAGCCCCAGTTAACCGAATGTGGGCTGGGCTCGGGCAAGGATCAAGCAGGAAGGGTGGAGGGAAGCCACCAAAGCCACTGCTCCTCTTGCCTAGGGCCAGGGGCAGCCGCTCATCTTCAGGAGAGGGAGAGGGAGGATCCTGGCTGTAGCTTGTGGTCCCAGATGGCGGTGCCCCCAGGTCTAAGCCCACCTTGTCTCTAGCCAGAAGTTCTCTCTGTCGCCGTCGCTGCTGATGTCGACCAATCAGGAGGAGAGTCAGGGATGCTGCAAGAACTCCCAGGAAGAAGCCGGCCAGTCCAGCCCCCACTGTGTGGGCCCGGCTTGGGGGGGGCCGAGGGCTGCCCCATACCAAGCTGTAAGCAGCTACCACACGGGCTGCCCCACCCTCCTGACATTCACAAGCATAAGCACCCATGGCCCCTGGGGTTACTACCACCTCTAGCCCATCCCGCCGGGAGGTAAGAGCAGTCACTCCACTGGGCTGGTGCCACACACAGGATGCCCAGGCTGAGCTTGGGGAACATGGCAAGACCACATGCGCAGCTGTAGCCACGGGAACTTCAAACACAACTGGGTGTTCTGGAGAGAAACAGCAAAGGCACAAAAGGTAGAGAGGCTATAGGCTGAGGGTGCAATGGAGAGAAACGTGGGGGGGTATCAGATAGGAGAAGGGGCTATGGGGGCATAGCTAAAGTGGATTCCCTAAGAGGACAAGGCCCTAGGCCCCCAGCTGCCACATCTTCCAGGGTCCAAGTTTTAATGTGGTGTCCAAAATAGATCATTTTCTAGCCCCTTTCCACCCACTCCACCCACATTTCCCTAAACCAGACAGACCTCCAGGCTCTTTAGGACACAGAGAAGCGACATCTGCTGACTCTATGTCTTGGACCAGCCTACAGAGAAGAGAATATTGGTAAATCCAGGGTCGACATTCCCTTCCATCCTCCTCAGTACCACTAAACGTTCACTCACTCGTTACATCCCCCATCATCTCAGAAATCACTCCTGAAATGATCAGTCAATGTGCTCATCATTAAAACTTCCCCCAGTACCTATTACACTCTTCATGACATTTGCCATGTCAACTTCTACACATATTCTAGCAGCCCATAGGAAATTAAATTTGCACCAGGTCTGTTGGAAAGATGTTTGGTGGGAACTTTCCAAGAAATATAGCCATCTGTCAAGAGCCACAAGAGTTCTCTGGGAAAAAAATTTTTAAAACTACAGGGTGTCTTGTTTTCTGTTAAGAAAAAAGAGAAATTTCTTCTCTACAAAAGTTAATCAAAACTCTGTGAGGGTCAGTGAGATGACTTTGTTATACAAAGCACCTCTCCTCTGTGCAGGAACTCTTTCTTCAACAGCCGTTTTGGTGTCCATTGGCCTGCAACAGATCTGCTTCAAATAAGACAATCCTGGTACTTTCAGGATTTCAGTGGACTGTGTCTGACAGAAGGACAGCAAGACAGACTGCTCACTTTGAACTTCCTGGCACCACTCCCAGAAGGAGAGAGGCCAGTGAGACCCTTAGTGGGCCGTCAGTGAAGAGCAGGTGGGAGCTGGGTCTGAACACACAAAAGCCTCAACCAAAGTAGGCTCTGTTTGAGTGTGAACTCCTCCACTATGAGCTGAGGTCCTGAAATGAGCTCTGAGACTGGTATGAATACATTCAAGCCTCCTGGGCAAGCCTCTAGTTTGCTCAATCTAGCTGAAAGTGGGGGGATGAGGAAGGCCATGGGTGTGGTTATAGCCACAGGCACTTCATGGTCCGTGTTTTCTCCCTTGTATGAATTGGGCTATGCAGGGTAGAGTGAAGAGCAGTACCAACCTGGTCATTTCTTGTATTACAAAGTAGTACGCTGGCATGCACACACACCCCACATCCTCCCCACATATATATGTTGAGGAAACCCCAAGGCTCAAGTATACAGAATACCCAATAACAATGAAATTATTATTTTAATGAATATTAAAACAATAAAGGAAAGAACAAAGTACTTGCTTTTGTCTGAGATGTTTTAAAGTTCTCCCAAAAGAAACTGAAATACCGGGTTAGAGTTCTTAACCAAAAATTAATTCCCAAAGACAAGTACTTTAACTTCTAAAGTATTTGTAAGTTTGGGGTTCAGTAACATGTACAAAGATAAAGTAAATTAACTGAGATTCAAAATAGAAAGTCAGTCACATGGTCCTGGCAGGTCGGGCAGAGGGGCAAGGACACTGACTGAGGTAGTGTGATGGATGCACAGAGGACTTAATAGGGACAGACATTAAAACACACAAGCAATAAAAAGAAGAAACACACGCAGAGGACAGCATTAACCGATGAGAAACAAACAGCTACACGGATGGTCAGAGCCCTGTGACAGCAGGCAAGAGGCCAAGACACAGCCATACTCACCCTCCATGCTCTTCGGCATGAGCCACACACGCATCTAGCCAGAAGCTCCAGGCACAGACAGGGTCTTGGGCCAGGATGCACTCTGAGCAGCTCTGGAGACGGCCACAGTCAGAGGTGTTCACTTGTGTCACCTCAGTGCTGGAGCCAACTAGGAGCCAGCTCTACAGAAAGTGAGTGAGAAAGAGGAATATACTGCATCTCCCAGACTTCAGGGTCACATACTGGCTCAGATGTCTCCCCATCAGGCTCCCCAAAATCCACAACTCACCTGATACAATTTCATATTCTCAACTGGCTGTGGCTCTGGGAATAAGGCAAGATCCTCAAGTACGCTGAGCTTGGCTCCAATCTGCACAGCTCGGTGGAGGTGTCCATCCTCTAGGAAGCAGGCAAGGAGCAGGACATAATGACACAACTGTATCCATGCCTGAGACCCTGGAACCTGTAAGTATGGGACTCTCTCTTTAACGAGAGCATGTGTGCGTGGAGTGGACAATGTACTTAGCTATGAAACATACCTGTCCCCAGGTAGAGCACATCATACTCTTTCCCTGAGAGGCTGGCCACCCTGTGGGCCACGACTCTGAGATAGACTGTGTCCGTAGTGACAAGCAGGGGGTGGCCATCAGCTGGGGACACTGGCCTGTCCATGAGGGGGTGGTCCCGGATAAAGGTGAGCACTCGGTCAGGCAGGGAGAGAGATGAGTCAAACTGCTGCAGCTTCATGTTGTTGGTGACACACTAGTGGAAACACAGGATGGGTGACGACGTTTCCCAGGGGCCAGGAAGTCTCTGTGATGCTGAGTTGGGCTCTTGCTGTACTGAGGCAATGCTGGCGTGGCTCTGGGGAAGGGCTGCTCCAAACCCCTTACCTCTCCCGGTCTGGGCTGGGGTACATCATTGTCCATGACGGGCAGTCCCCTGTTGCAGTCATGTTTCAGCTCTCTGAAGGGACCATCCAGCACTGACCGAACGTCTTGTGGTCGGAAGGCACAGACAGCAGAGATGGCGGCCCCCTCCCTGGAAGAATCCCAGGTTGGAGCCAGGTTATTTGAAGAGAACTAGGGGACAACAACTCACTCCCTCTCAAAGGAGAGGACCCCCAAGATGTGCACGGGAGCAGTGCAGCCTGCGCCGGGGAGAGGCCAAGCCCTCTGGAGGACACAGCACTGACACTGTGCCGCCCTCATGCACCTCCCACCCTGTGACTCTCTCCTCCACACCAGGACCCCCTCACCACTGGGAGGAAAAGATGCCATAAAAGATGGGGGTCCCCACTCCAGTCTTGGGTCGAAGAATGGCCATGTCCTGCAGGACACTGGAGGCCCGGCCATGCTCAGGCCCTGGACACAGCAGGTCGGCCTTCAGGAATGTTGTCCACCTCTGCTGGAGGGTCTTACGGCCCCCAAGATCCCCCTGGGGGTGACAAGAGCATGGGAATTCCTTTTTAGAAGACCAACATTGTAGGAAGAATGTGGAAACCGATACAAGTTTTCCCCAGATGAGGACAGATGGGGAGAGAGATGCAGAGAAATGCAATGACAGGGATACAGACAGAGTAACAGTGCAGGAGAGTAATGCATGGGCAGACAGGGCCACAGTGACAGTAACAAAGTTCACTGTGCACTTATGGAGTGCTGTACTACGTGCATTCCATAACTTACCTCAATTAGTCCTCAAAACAACCCTAGAGCTAGGCCTCACTGATACTCTCACCTGTAAGGAAGCTGAAGAACCTGCCCCGAGTCACAGAGGCAGTAAGTAGTGGAGCAGGGCCTGCAGCCCAGGTCTGTCTGTCAACAGTTCCTGCCTTCAACCTCCACACAAACTAGTCCACCTCCCAGGGACGGTGTGTCACGGGGCAATTGTGGGCTTACGGGGGCTAGAGCCCTTTCCCCATACTCCTCAAGCACCCAGAGAAGAAGACAGGAAAAAAGAAGACAGAGTAGAGCTGCAAAAATGGAGATCCAGAAAAGAAAAGACAGAGGCCAAGCAGAGCAGGAGATGACAGATGGACGGCTGGGATCTGGGATCAGACAAAGAGCTGGGATCAGGGTCTCACCGCGCACACACGGGCCACCCGAGGAACCTTAATGTGCTCATATGAGTCGAATGCTCGGGAAGTCTCCGTAAAGAAGAAGTAGATTTCATCATCTCCATCTTCGTCCCCCCACTCGGCTGGCCTCAAGGCCACAGCTGCGACAAAGGCTGGAGCTGGGGAGACCTGAGGCCTTAGATCCCACGGCCACAGCCTGGGGACCCCACCTCCACCTGCCCTCCCTGTCCCCAGAGCACCCCTCGCCGTCTCCCCACCGTTAAGCCAGGATGGCAAGGTCTCTGTCCGAATCCAGTCCTCAGCACGACCCACAGCCCGGGAGATAATTGGCTCCGTCCCCAGGTAGTTTTTCACAGTGGCGGCATAGAGGACCCCCCCTGCAGAAAGACAGGGAGGAGATGAGCTGTAAGAGACCCACTGAGGAAAGCAGAAGGCATCACAGGCAGAGCAGGGAATAAAGCAGGGGCAGGAACTCTCAGGGGCTCAGTGCCCCTTAAGTGCTGGACACTGCTAAGCACATGACAGGCATCCCCTCACTTGAAATCATCATAGATGCAAAGTGCTCCAAGCCAGGGAGGGGGACCAGCATTAAGGGAAAAGTGCCTGAATGTTAAAATGTGCATGAAGGGAGGCTAAAAGCTGCCCTCGTGGAAATCAGACCATTTGGCTGGTTTGCTTGGTGGTGGTGGTGGTGGTGTTGTTGTTGTTGTTGTTGTCGTCATCTTAGTGATTTCTCTACCCTGTAATGTGTTAATCTACTGTGACTCTCCAGGAAGGGGGTCTGTTTGTAGCATGTCCCAGTTTTACGTAAGTTCACCCACTATGGTAAATGCCTGAAGGAACTAGTGTCCTTCTGAACAGGAGTGGGTGTACACTGCTCTGGAACAAGCCACAACTTCAGGGTGTACTAGCATCACAGGGAATTGGCCAAAGGGCAGATTCCTGGGAGAGAAAGGGAGGCACGGCTCTGTGGGCTGAAGCACTACAGCCACACTGAGCACCACTGCCCAGGGCTTGGATGTGAGCAGAAGAAAATGATTCCGGGCAGGAGAAGGTCACAACACCCCTGGAATTTGTGTATCACAGGGGTTCGGGAGAGAACAGAGTGGCATTCCTTCACCACTTAAATACAGAGCACTGTGCTTTGTATTTGAGCACATGGCTGCCCCCAAGAACCCTCATCAGAGACCGAAGACAAACATTTACTCAGACACCAGGAGGCATGGATGCACAGATGTGTGCAGGAGCCCAGAGGACGACCCAGCCACATCTGACTGAGGGAGCAGCATTTCGGAGGCGACATCTGAACTGGGTCTGAAAAATGAGCATCTGCCAGGTAGAACCACTTCAGGGAGGACGATGGACAGGCGGGAAGAGGGGAGCCACGTTTAGGGATGAGGGGCACTCCCCGTGGCTGAAGTGCTGGTGGCGTACAGGGCCTGCCGGCCAAGCAAGCAGAGATACGGCCGGAGATACAGAGACAGGTACCCAACTGTAATGAGTCTGCTCTGCCAGGACCAAGAACATGGACTTTATCCTACGGGGAAGAGCAAAACTGCAGAGATTTTCTTGAAGACAAGGTGACATAATCAGGTTTTGTTTTTAAGAAGATAATGCCAATGGAGGGCATAAACGAAGGCAGGGGCAGAGGGAATGAAGAGACTTGACTGGGGAGGTATTTCTGAGGTAGAGCCCAATAATAAGACTTGAAAATCAATTGAGTATGAGATGTGCAAGAATGGAGTAAAATGCTGCTCTAAGGTTTCCAGCTTAGAAGACGGATGATAGCAGATGGTGATGCTCTGAGCCAAGCCAGGAAATGACAGGACAAGGCCCATAAAGGAGATGGCTGGAGAAGAAGGGAGCTTCGTTGCTGGATGTGCTAAGATTGAAGCACCTTCGGGGCATCTGGTCAGAGATACCAGGAGGCAATCAAACAGAAAGGGTTAGGCAGTGGGGCCAAGTTATGCAGCTTGGGAGTCATGCTTAAGTTACGACAGGAATGTAATAGACAGGGAGAATGGGAAAGCAAGAGAGCCCGAGGACACCACCATTTAATGGGAGAAGCCACTGAAAGCAACTCAGCAGATCAAGTCAGAGAAGATGGAGAAGCAAAAGAGGCTGGGGAGCCGGAAGCCAGTGCACAGACACCCCGGCAAGGGCCATGGGGCTCACGCCCAGGAGGGAAGCTGTATGGAGTAGGGCCACTGTAAGGGAAAGACAGTCATGCTGCAGTCACAGATGCTCAAGCAAACTGCATGCCTCGGCACCAGAAGGACAACTGCTATTGTTTTAAATTATTTATTTATTTTTAGAGAGAGGGAAAGAGAGGGAGAAAGAGAAACATCGATGTGCAAGAAACACACCAAGCAACTGCCTCCCGCACGCCCCCCGACCAGGGACAGACCCAAAACCCAGGCAATATTCCCTGACCAGGAACCAAACTGGTGTCCCTTTGGTTTGCAAGCCAGCACTCAATCCACTGAGCCACACCAGCCAGAGTGATAACCACTATTTTAAAAACATGTTATGCAGAGCAAAATAGGGTCACAAGTTCCTCAGAGGGTAAAGTGGAGGGTTAGAAACCTCCTTGTGGGGTGGGGAATGGAGACCACACTACCAATCTTTTGAGATTGTGATAAGAATCCAAATGTGTTGGAGCCAGGAAGGCTGGGGTTTGAACCCTGAATACTTACTAGTAGTGTGATCTTGAGCAAATGAACTTTCCTAAGCCTCAAGTTCCTCAGAGCAGCACTGAGGCTTAAGTGGGATAAACACAGAGCCCCAGGTAGGGCATGGCCCATGGCTGGCATTCTATACACAGTGGTTACAGCTCCTTATCAACTCCCATGCTCAAATTGTTGCCAGAGGTGGGGACTATAAACAGGCATCCACTTCCTGGCAGAGGTTTCAGGAGGGAAAAAACCAGGTTTGGGGTACAGGTCCTGGTAGCAAATGGGGCGGCAAATGGGCCCATCTTCTGTGTTTCCAATGGGGGAAAAGGGTGATAAAGAGGCCAAAGTTAGAATGAAAAGTTTCCTAAGTGTGGTACACAAACACTCTAAAACCACAACGCTGGTAGAAGCTGTGTCATGGATACCCTGAGAATGGAGGGAGATGTGGTGGAGACAGGTATAAATGTTTGGGGGGCATGATTTGATGTGTGTGTGAGTGGGGAGACAATCATAACAATTCTGTAAACAGTAAAGGACCTCTAATAACCGTGTGAGGACCCAGTGGTAGATGATGGTTAAAGGATCCCAAAATTTTCTAAGGGATCAACAGGGGCGCTCAGCAAATCTGGAGCCTAGAATTGTCGAGGAGCACACTCAGAATGGAACAGCAGAGGGGGACTGACACTAAGGGACAGTAGAAGGGATCAGACACTTTGGGAGGAAGTAGCAGGGTTCCAGGTGTTTGAGTACCAAGGGGCTTACACAGAAGGAACATTAGCCATCGGCCAAGGAGGCCACAGGATCACCATGTCCTAGATTCACCAGGGCAGTCTCACTTCCAACTAGTCTGTTGCACTACCCACATAATAAAATACCCCTGCACATGGAGTTTTTCCTGGATTACTACTGAATAGACTGAGTCAGTAGACATCAAAATATACATTTGCTACTGGCAAAAGGTGATGTGCAAAAGAAAAAGATGCCCACAGTGTCGAGTTCAGCAAACAAGCTGGTTAGAACAAAACACTGAGTACAATTCAACTTGATTTTTAAAGACAGGTGTACATGTCTGCAGACACAGGGAAGGCTGTTGAAGGAGCTACAACTCTACAGTGTTAATGATGTTTGCTTCTGACTAATGAAATTACAAGTGATTTTTATTTTTTCCCGTATACTTTTTGTATTCACTGAAAGGTTTTTGTAGTTGGCATCTTTTAAGTTTATAACCCCTCAAATTAAGATATTTTCATTTTGGTAATACAAAAATAAATTCAAAAGACTGGAAGCTGAAAATGAGGGAAAATCACAATATTTGTGGAAGTCGATCCACAACGCAGTCAGTCCTGCCCAGGCCTCCCAGTGAGCACAGGCCTCCCAGACGGGTTGGAGCCCAGCACTGACAGGCTAGGGTAGTGTCACAGCAATAAATACTTCAATACTCTGGGGTTTCGAATTTTCACTTTCTTATCAAAATGCTCACCTTTAAAGGTTTACAGTAGGAAATACCATTCATTAGCATTAGGAAGTGATTTTAACATGCCCTGGCTTTCCTTTCTCCACTCCCTTATCTCCATTTCCTTATCTAAGGATTGGGACAGCTAGATACTTTTCTTTTAAAAAACAGCCTATTGTTTGGACCTAATTAGATAGTTAGAGATGTAGCATTTACCTTTTTCTCTGTTGGCCACATAACAGTCTTATTTCAGTGTGTGAGTGTTAGTCTTTGGGCACACACCAGGACTTAAAGGAGTAAGCTTGGATCCAAAATGCTGGCAGCACCCAATGCATCTGGAATGTCTCCAGAGTGCTCCTTGGCAGATGCACTAACCACAGGATGCAATGAGACCAAAAGGAGATGATAAAAACACAGGACACGTTCCCAAAGCGAAAAACAAAAGCTCCCTCCTTCTGCTCTTCTTGATGAAAGCATTATTTTTTTATAGGAAGTGATAGGAAGGACCACAGATGACTGACTGCTGTCTGTGGCCTAGGTACCTGGGTGGGTATGCTCTCAGAGGAGGGGACACTGGTGGAGGAGCAGGTTTGGGGGAACTGAGTGAAGATGATGAGCTCAGTTGGGACATGCTGATTTTGAGATTACTGTGGGACATCCAAAGTGGAGATCCGGAAGGCAGCTGGATAAGTGGCCCGTAGCTGCAGATAATGTCTAGCAGACATCAGGATGCAGTGGAAACAGAACCCACAGAGCTGGTTTTAGAAGATTAGGAAGGCATTGGATTTGGGAGACATCAGAATGCAGTGAAAACAGAATCCATTAGGCTGATTAAGATCATACCCATATAAAACAAGAAGAGAAGAGGATCTTGGGTGGAAGTCTAATGGGCTCCAACATTTATAAAGATGAGCAGAAGACAAAGACCCTACAAAGGACACTGAGAAGAAACTGCCAGTGTTTTTAGGCTAATGTGAATGTTATTGTCAAAATACTTGACAGTATTTCTGAATCTGACTGGAGCAAATAGAGACACTGGGATCATTTTGTCGATTTTACCTAAGTGCAGTACAAATAAATGTCATGTTTAAAGACAAGATTTCAGAAGCTTTTCCCAAAATAAATATAAGTACCAATAAACACATAAAAAGTTGTTCAATCTCACTAATAAAAATGCAAATAAAAAATACACAAATGGGACTTTGGAGGTCACTGTTTGCATGTTTATTACATATGTTACTCAGGACTGACAAGGATGCAATGAAACAGGGCCTCTCATCTCGGCTGGTGGGAATTCCGACAAATCCATCAAGCACCATAAAAATCTTTACACCCGTTGGCCCAGCAAAGCCTACTTTTTGGATTGACTCAAAGGCAGTTAATTACATTTATGTAAATAATTTATGTAAAAATATTTCTACTACAGCAATATTCATAAAAGCAATCATTTAAAAATCTGAATGTATAATTTTATGGGAATAATTAAATTGTGCTATATTCATATGATAGAATAGTATATAATCATTAAAATCATGTTTTGAATAATTAAAGAATTTCTATGATGAGAAAATTATTAGTGAGATATGCATAATAATTCTAATTTATTATAAATACACAGACAGAAAAAATACTCTAAAATAACAATAGCAGTTACTTGGTAATGATTGAATTGCATATGAATCTTTTACTTTCATCTTTAACATTTCCATATTTTCTACAATGCACATTGTAATTTTTATCATTTAAAATATATTACTTTATTATATTCTAGTACTACTTTCATTACTAAAACATCTTTTTATTTCAAAATACTTCGATTTCTTTAAAGACATTTCTATATCTCCTAACTAGAAATTTCAGTTCTAGTTCTTCCCTAACATTGGCACTATTTTCTATTCTGCTGTTTTCAAAACAGAGGACATAATGGACCAACATGGAAAACTGGAGCTAAATACTGCCATTTATGTCAGACCAAGAAAAAATTTAAATTATAGCCCTAAAAAGTAAGAACTTGAGAGAAAAATGTATAATATTGGCTTTGACTGTGGCTTGGATCTGAAAAGGAGCCAGAAGGTTCTGTGTTAACTGTCTAAAGCCAGTCACTCTAAACTGTTAGAAAGTGATTTCTGATCACTGCTATCAATTATAGATGAAACCCAACACAGTTTCATTAGCTGGAAGACAAAAAGACTTGAAACCTTTTTGAAAATGTTATTCCTTTTTGAAAATTATCATCCTCATACAATGATCTTATTTATGAAATCTGTGCCCTTAAACCACATGCTAATGCAAATCCACTTGCTGACTGGAACATTGAGAAATTACAAGCAGAAGGCTGAATGTACTTAAAGTTTACTGCTTGAAAAAAAAAGAAAATATGTTAAACGATTATCTTAGATTGCTGCAGCTGAAAATTTTTTCTAATAAACAATTATGTAGAATCAAGAGACATTCACAACTGCTGTCTTTCCTAAGGATCCCAATGACTGGCTCAGAGTTTTTGCCAAACATGCTTGATCAAAAAGGCAAGAAAAATAAACAATTAGTTAAATTGTCATTCAAATATGTGTGAGTATAGACAAGGTCTCATCAATTTCAACTATAGATGAATGATAAAAATAACCCAAATATTGTATTGACTAGACACTTAAATTCACTTTTAAAACATTAATTATCTGACTAAAAGCTATTTAATTCATATAGATTTTAAGACTTGTCCTATCATATCACACCCAAGAAAAAGATTTTGTTGTTAGAACTTACATCCCAATTTTTGTTTTTCATAAAATATTACCCAGAAGAATAAGTAAAATTAATTTTATGACAAAAGTTCACAGCAGAAGTTGGTGAAGAAAGAAAAAAACAGTTTAATGAATGATGCTGCGTCCACTGATTAGCTAGTTGGGAAATTTACTTCTCCATCATTCATCAAAATAAGTTCTAAATAAATCAAAATGTTAAATGTCTGGGGAAAAATGTTAAGGAAAAAGTTTTATCTACTCTCTACCTGAAGAAGGACTTAGCTTTAAAATATATAGTTAGAAAGGAAAAGCTGTAGATCAGAATGCTAATATCCTACCTGATAATTTGCCCAAGAACATAAGCAAAGGACTTATCAGAAGAGAAATAAAAATAGTACTATAACATGAAAAATGTCCAACTTCACTAATATTCAAAGAAATACAGATTAAAACAAGGTATTATTTTTAGCTTCAAAGATCTTTTAAAATGACAACAATACATTCTGGTAAAATTTATGTGAGAAAAAAAACACTCTCAGTTACTGCTGATTTAGGGTGTGAATTGGTACACTCTTTGTAAAAACCTAATTAGCAATAGATAATGAGCCATAAACTGTTCACACCCTTTGATATAGTAATCTAGTTTCATAAGTCCTAAAAAGACAATCTAAAATGGGGGCAAAAAATTATGCACAAAAATGTTGATTATAATGTTAATGGATAGTAGCAAAAACTCAGAAGTAAACTGAATAAAATTAATTTATATAAGTTATTTGGAATTGTTTAAATTATTATATGCTCACAGGATGAGCAGCAACATGATGTCATTCAAAATTCTCTTGATAAAGAATTTTTAAATTATACAGAAATGTCAATGATATAAAGTTGCATGACAAAATTTAAAATTATATCCATGTAGTGTGACGTTTAAAAGTTTTATAATATACACACATAAATTTCAACTAACCTGCTTGTTTCACGCTATCATGAGAAAATGGCTGGACTCTCTGAGTTTGAGGGGTGTGTGTGGAATCATCTGACCTAAATGATAGGCTATGTGGCATATAAACAATTCACTTTGTGGCTACCAAAGAATCAAGCACTCATTCTCCAGAACAGGTTTAGGCATAAGCTGTGATAGAACCATTCAACACTTGAGCAATTGTCCATAGTTGTTGAAAGGAAATAACAGCAGGAACTTACTGGATAGTCACTACTAACTCTGCTGAGCAGCGAAGGACTGGCCAGCAAAATATGTGTGTGAGTGTCTGTGTACGTGCACATACACGCTCCAAAGGGTAGAAGGAAATATCCTAAAATACTAACAGTGCTTTTCTGAGTAGGGATACTCTCAACCTGTGCCAATATAATAGCCAAGATACACATATGACTACTTACATTTAAATTGAAATTAAATACAATTTAAACTTCTTTCCTTCAGTCACACTAGTCATATCTCAAGGGCTCAATAGCTACATGTAGCTGGTAGCTACCATATCAGATAACCAAGATGCAGAACATTTCTGTCATCGCACCAAATACTTCTGAACAGTGCGGTTCTAGATTTCGTATGCTCTTTATACTTTTTCCAAATGTATTACAATATGCATTGTAGCAAACTCCTCTTATAAACAGGAAAAATGAGAACAGAAAATGAGGTTAACAGAGAAAACACACTAGAGGTGCAGAGAACACATTCTCTAGGGAGAACCCAGGGAAACAGTACTCTGGAGAACAGCAGGACACAGGCACTCTGGGAAGAATAGGAAGGGCTAGAAAGAGACATGGGAATAATAGACATTCCTAGGAAAGAAAGGACACAGAAATTCCAACAGCAGGGGTGGGGAAGGAAGCAATTACAGCAAGAAGTTACAGGCTCTTGTCTCTCCCACTCACCAGCCATTACAGCTGCTGACCGCTGAGCTGGCTCAAAAGGACATTTCCCCCGGCCACTCTCAATTCTTTCAACCTGCTGGAAACTGGACACAGCCTACAGACCAGAAGGGGGCAATTGGTTTAGGGATCATGGGGAGGTTCATGATGAAAATTACAAAGATGATCAGATGAAGGAAGAGCCCAATTCCCATTCCTCTGCTACCATCCCCATATTCCCAATCTGCTACTCCTGACTCCCCTGCCCATTCCTGCATGACCCACCTCCACCATCCCTCTTTTCATCAGTTTATCCCTCTTCCTTCAATACCCGTAGTCCCCACACTCTAATGAAGGGCCAGCTAGGATAGCCCTAGATGACACTCAGAGGCTGAAGGGCAGATTTTCCCCTGAAATGCTGCTGAAAGGTAGGTTTTGCGGCTGGCTGGAGAACATGCTACAGGACAAGAAAGACCAGGGAAGACAGCAGGCCCCCTGAGGTCTGATACCCTTAGGAAGGGTAAGGAAAAAGAGCAACTGATACAGGACCATCTGGAACCCAGGTGTCGAAAGAGAAGATCCATCCTCTCCCTACTTCCACCCCAAGGGTGAGAGATGGGACCAGAGTCAAGGGTTCAGAAAAGGGGCAAGAGAATCTGCAAAGTCAGTCAGGGCCTGAAGCTGAGGTCAGAATTTGAGCATTTGCTAAGAAAATGCTTTCTTCATCCAGGGACTCTAGAAGGAGTGACCTGGGAGAGGGTGAAAGGTGTAAGAGCCAGCCAGAAGTTACCTTAGCTAAGCATCATGCACTAAGAGAGACTTCAAGATAACATCTAAAAGTAGGAATCAGGGATGATTTCAACCTAAGACTGACAGGGAGCATTAACTGTGGCCGGTTAGGAATCAAAGTTATGGCATGGAAGTGCCAGGCATGGTGTCTCTGGCTCACAAACTAATGTGGACATAAGGTGTTTGCTGGAGACTAAGAACCTGGATCGTAGTTGCAGTAGTAATGTAAATCTATGTCCTCTGGGCAGGAGTATACTACTGGCCCATTCTGACTGCTTGTCTGTTGTCAGTAATTGGCAAGCAAGGTTTTATTTTATGGAGTCTTTAAAAAGGCCTGTTAAAACTAGATGTGATCTGAGGTCCCCACAAAGGGAATACTGGGCCAAAGAGTTTTCCAGAATGGAGGACCAAGCACCTTATTTGTGTGGCAGTGGGAGCATCCTAGCCTGAGGAGAAAGTGACAGTTCAGTGAGAGATTACCAAGGTGTCTGGGCACTTTGGAGACAAGGTTAAAACCCACTGCTGTGGCCCTTCTCTGCCACACTGCCTAGCCTCGTCCCCAATTTACTCTATGTATCCACCTCAGAATAATACTGCTAGACTATCAGTCACTGACTTAATAATTTTTGAGCAAGAGAATGACAAAATGGCTCACTGTTGCCTGAAGTAGAAACTCTTAAGCCCAAGTTATTTATTCTCTAGTATTTCTTAAAATGAACTTCTAACCAAACCTGGATCACCTGTTATTCCTAGAAAACAAATTATGTTTCCCCATCTCTGTGCCTGAAACTGTTCTCATTTCACCAAGGACTGAACAAATGAGCCTTTTCTCAATTCTTATTCTCTTTAACCTTTAGTTACCTTTCGCTACTTTTGACTCACTCCTCTCCTTGAAATATTCTATTTCCTGACTTTCTTGAAACTTCACCCTCCTGGAGTCCTTCCTCCGATCTAATTGTTGCTTCTCTATCTCCTTTGGTTGTTCCTCTTCTTTCTAGCCCCTAACTATGAATCCTAAAAATCTATCCTTAGTCCTTTATGCATATACTTCAAAGATCTCATTTATTCTTCAAGTGACAGCCAGACCTTCTATGCAAATCATTCCCCAAACCCTACAAGTCTGAGGTCCTCCAACTGGAGTCCATGTTTATACTTGACTGCTGCACTTCCTCACAGAGATGGCTTATCAGCCCCTTAAGGCTCATCATGACAAAACTAGTCCTTTTCCAGTTTCCTCGGCTAGAATCATTATGTTATCTAGGTTTATAGACTTTGAACAAGTGAGCCTCCTACTAACTAAACAGGTTATTATAACTGTACAAAGTGGCATTTATTAGAGTTATGAAACAGGCAAGACTGCTCTATTACATTCTCTCGCTGAATGTTGAGATTCTTCACTGTGTCATCACTGTGTCAATCAGCCTATCGGTTGTGGTGAAGGCAAGTCCCTCAAGCTGAACATCAGAGCAAGGTAGGAAGGCTCTCACTCAACCGTGGGGTTGGAATCCATCCTTCCATCTTGGCCAAGGACCTTTCCCAGGTGGTTGGGGAGATGAGCAGGGAGAGATGGTCCCTGTTACATGTAACAGATCAAATGTCACAACAAGTTCAAGCCAGGTGAGGCTTTCTGTGTTGCAAGTTGGTCTACGGGGCCAGGGTAGTGGAGCAGAGCCAGCAAAACTGGATTTGAATCTTGGCTCTGCCTCTGCTAGCTATATAACATTAGATATGGTGCCTAATTTTTCCAAACTTTTGTCCCATTGCCTGTAAAATGACAAGAAATAATACCTAAACATCTGGAAGGGGAGAATTAAACTCAATCGTGAATGTAAAGTACCCAGCACCAAGCCTGGGCCAGAGGTGATACTCAGTTGAATGTGTAGTCTTAATCATTCTAAGTCTAAAATTTTTTTTCTCTTAGCTGATGGAGCTCCCTCTAAAAAAAAAAAAAACAAATTAAAACACTTCCTCATATTGGATGAGCTGTGACAGGCAACACTCCATATCATTGGAACTGATAGGTCCAGTGCTTGAATTTCCTTTTGTAAGAACCTTCATTCCTCTGGGCAATCAACTCTGAGCAAGTAGTTGTGTCTGGAGCAGCTAGCTAGTCAAAGCCCTCAGATAATAGTTAAGTAGAGTCTCAAAGTCATCAGTCTGGGACAGGAGAGTTTCAGCACTAAGAACTTGCTCAAGCAGGTGAGCATTGCCAGACAGCAGGATAAGACAGACAGTTAAAGGCAGAAGAGAGCATTCAGAAAGTCTAGAGGGCAATCTCAGTATGTGACTTGAAGGTTTAACACAGCTGATCTTTCTGCTACAAACAAGCCTTAACAAAAGGATAGTCCTTCATTTCATGAGCCTGCTAGATAGGAGGATTGAGAAAAATTGCTGAAGGTTGTAGGAATGCAGAACACAGAGCCCTGGCTTCGCTCTTGGTGCCGATGTTCCAAGTCACACCAATCCTGACAGGTATATCTAGAACCTTTCTGTCTGGTTACCTAACAACCACTAGGGGCCCACCTCAGAGAGCCAAGGAAGAACAGAAGGCCCTGGGAGACTAACTTGGAGTGACTCGGATATCTATAAGCCATGGTTCTGATATTCACACCCATAGGCTCCACCGCCCGCACAGACTACAACAGGACAAATGTGGCAACGACAGTTCTACAGCTACTTTGTGAGCTTTGTGAGGACTACAGGCAAACTAGATATCCAATTTTACCTGATAGAATACAGAGATTTCCAATATCACCCTGACCTAAGAAGCCTTCCCAGGGTTAGATGAGGGAGTTATCCACATCCAGCATGCGGTCTATCATCCACATTATGAAAAGGGCACAGCATAAACCCAACTAAACCAAGGGCAGCCCAGAGAGACCGACTGTCTATCAACCATACACAATCATAGCATTCTAAGCCAGAGATATGAGAATGGTCTTCAACAAAGACAGGTTTAAAGGTACACGCTGGCTAGATCCAGGTGGCAATGATTACTGGAGACTGCAGAAGGGTCAAATCCAGATCTGCAGTTAAAGATCAGGGTCAGGAAAAGGAGTCACTGCACTCCCCCCTACTGCTGTATGGGGCAGGAAGGGAAGCCACTGGATACGAAGGACGTGTGAGGCTTTCAACTCATCGCAGGGCCTTGTCACAAATATGTGCAGGCAAAGGGCCACTGCCTGACTACTAGATAAGTGATGGGAAAAGATGAGAGTTCAAAAACATTCAGACCTTTTCTGAGATGTCACCAGTCCCAGGCACTTTTGTCACCATGACTAGCCTAGATGTGATTAGGGGTATATATATCCCAAGCCTGCCTGGGTGTGAACAATGAACAGGACCTAGAAGAAAACATGGTTGACAGTGGTCACCTTGAAGGCAAGATCCTGTGTATGGTGCCAGCAGATGCTACATTAGTAGGCAGTGGCCTCAGAAGCTCATAAGAGCAGCAAGTCACAGGCCACACAGAATGAAGTTAACAGTGGAGCTGGGAGAAGGTGGTAAGAGTCACATGCCATGGAGGAAGAAAGAGGCATGAACTGTGCTGATTAAGAAATGGATGCAGAGAAAAGAAAGAAATGGACCCAGGCTACCTGGACAATGCATACATAGGACAAGGGAAACATGAGTTTCTGGTCTCTGAAGTCTCTCCTGAATTTCTCTTCTCCCCACCCCAGCTAGCATCCCTAACTCTCCTCATCACCCCACTACATCTCTCTTCACATTTTGTGTAACTTACCTTTTACAGGGAACCTCCCTCCCCACCCTTCCGTACCCTCCTCCAGTAGCAGACAAAAGCTCCACCCTGTGAGGACATCCCTCACCCCCAATGCTTATCATGCACAAGCGTTGTCCTAAGCATGCTCCCCACCACAGTCACTCACAGTAGACCCTTCCCGGCCTCCCACCCCTGTCACTCACAATAACCCCGCACTTCGGATCAAAAGCGAAGGTGCCACAAGTGAGGAGGTGAGAGGCATTGGCAATGGCGAGAATCTGGACAAAATTGTGACATTCGTCCTGGGGGTTAGAGATGGTTAGAGAGAATCAGAAGCAGCAGGTACCAGGAAAGGTAGGGCAGTGTCAGGCCAGTTAGGTGCAGCTCTTCGATCAGAAATGATGGGTGATGATATGATGTTAGTGTCCCTGCCTGGGCCCATTGGGATGGCAGCACTGCAGGGGACTGACACAGAGTCAGGGCTGGGCCAAGGTCTGAATTGACACTCAGGACAGGCCCCAGATCTACACCTACCTCCTTCTTGCCTTTCTTCCTACAGTTCTGTCTGTGGGCCTCAGGCACTGTCCAGTCAATCTGAGAAAGAAGGAATAACCATTTCCCCCAGATTCTCTCCCAATTCCTCCCAAGTCAAGGTAGGTAACACAGTCCCACATTTGATTGACATTTCCATCAATTTAGAAACTTTAGAGACACGCCAATCACCCCAGAGCAGTGTTTTTAAAACTGGAGGTCTCCACTTACTGACTAATTAAATCAATTGTGAAGTCGTGACTAACGTTATTTTTAATGAAATATATTAGAATGTATCACATATAGGAGAGTAGATATTGGTTCAAGAAAGTTTTCTCTCAGTGCACACTTTGTGTACTGGCTCAAAATGTACCATATATTTCTTACTAAGTGGTAGCCAAAAAAGCTGGAAAGCTACTAACCTAGGATAATGTGATTCTAATGATTCCTCTGCCCACTGTCAACTAACACTTGGTCACTGTGGCCTCCTCCCATTATCATGAGCCTCCCTCACAGCCTCCCAGTTACCATGACCCCCCCCCCCGACTCACCCTCAACTGAGAACTGTAATTGATGACCCCTGGAATCATTTTCACCAATACTTCCCCTCCTACCACACCCCCTGCCCCGCCCCACACATCCAATATAACCATGGACTTAATCACACACTCTGGGGTCTTCCCCACCCTCATCTCTCACCCTGCGGGGTCTCTCCCCTGAGAGAGGCAGAGATAAAGCAAAGATGGTGTCCCGGGCGCCAACATAAAGTGTATGGGTAGCAGGATCCACAAGGAGAACAGAGTAATTGTAGGTCCGAGGGACAGTGAACCGGGTGAGATAGGAGTCAGCCTCTAGCAGAAAGAGAGGGAAAAATTATATCAGCCATTGCGTCATAAAGGTTAGTCCACAAGGGCAACGCTAAAGGGGCCAATTTTTGTTTTCTTCCAAGTACCATTTTTTTAGCAGCGGTCAGGGGGAAAAAATGGAGCCTGACAGGCCATCTAACTTTCCCAAAGATAGATAACTGGTGAGGCCAGAATATTTAGTACACAATCCAGTCAAGGATGCTTTTTCTATAAAAAAATAAATGTCTTATTAAAATAACAGCATAAATATTAAGTCTGTAATTTCCATTCATAGCAACATGACACACAATTTGAAAATACCTATAGAATGTACTTTCCTCTCTCAATTTCCCTTCTTTAAAAAATCACTACTTAATAACTTCTTTTCACTTAAAGGGAAATACTTCACTCTTTTCACTAACACATTAGGAGACTAATCTTCTCTCTCTCCTATAGCCCCTGACCTCCTTCCATCCCCATTCCACCCAAAGAGGCAGAGAGTAGTGGGCAAGAGTGTATGCTTTGGAAATGAGTCAGCCTGAGGTTAAATCTGGCTCTTTCACTTACCAGCTGCATGATCTTGAGTAAGTTACCTGCCCTCTCTACACATTGGTTTCCTCATCTGAAAATACCACCATCCAGGGTTGTTGAGAGAATTCAATGGGACAACATATGTGGAAGCATCTGACACACACTACATGTGGTTCCTTTCTTAAGTATGAACTCTGTATTGGCCAAATCTAAATCTCATATCAGCATGCAAAACTCCTATCCACTTAAAGATTATAACAAATCAGTTCACATAATTCACCTTCTTAGGTCAATGTCTGGCTCTGGGGCTCCTATACCTGCACCAATACAGCTCCTTTCTGCCTGCTTCATCTCCTCAGCTACCATCAAGAACTGAAAGAATGGCCAACAGCCTTCATTCCTAGATTTGCTGATGTATGGAGCCCCACCCATCTTCCCACACCCATATTCCTAGCTGTGCAGTGTCTCTCCTGTTTAGAATAAGCCCTGGTTCCCCCAGCCTCCCTTTGTATCCCCAGCTCTGCTTCATCTCACCATCTAGACCTCTCTGGATTCCTGGACATCAACCCAGGCTGGCAACCTCAACTCTATGTAGTGGCTATTGCTCCAGCACACACTGAAAACCCAGGCTTTGACCACGATTTTGTCTCCTGGATTCAAAACATGCCTATAGGTCACTGGTCTGAAGTTTGGACTCTAAATTACTAGCACACAGTTTTAGGTTTTTGCCAATAGGTTGTACTCTCAGCTTCACTGGATCTGTCTTCCCAAAGTGCTAACATTCAATCCCGCTGTGAAGAAAACAAGATTTACAGCCACAGTCCTGCCCACCTCAGCAGAGAGCCTTTAAAGTGGTCCAATGACCACTTTCAACCTTGCGGCATCTCCTGGCTTCTTTGACATCTTTTGAAAGGGCCATATCTCCCTCCCTCTTTTTTCTTTTTGAAGACTTTAAAAATCATGTAAACAGAATTTTAAGTCAACTCACTGAATGGTTCCCCAACATTCAATATAGGGAATGGGTAGAGAGAGCAAGTAACGTTAGGAAAGTAGGGTTATGATGGATCAGATAATGGGAGAATGGGAGTTGGTGTCAGATGTGAGAGGACTGGAAAGTGGGTTAGAAAAGATTAGGGTTGTGAGCAGGGTAAAGAAGGTGGGGGGATAGAGCTGATGGCATGGGAATGAATCTGAGAAGTGGGCGGGTGAAAATGCTGAGCTGGTAATCAGAAGAATGGGTGGTTGGAGTAGAATAAAAGATCTCTGGGTTTCTTAGCAAGATGGGCATCTAACTGGCGTGACCCACACAGGCGGGTCTGGTAGGAGGGTAACACGGGAGAGCGAACTTCGAAATGGATGACCTCTGGCAACTCCCATCCCCTCCCTTGGCCTCAGTGCCCGAGCCTGCACGACGACAGACTTAATGCTCCCGCGGTCCTGCTCATAAGGGGCCGCCAGGGTGTGTCAAGGGAGCCCAGCCGCGAGGCCCTGGCCCACGACATGGTGGAGCAGCCCCGCGTAGGCGTCTCGCCTGGATTTGGACGAGGGTGGGCATCGCACTACGCCGCGCACCGCTCGGAGGGGCCCCGGGTGCGGCTGCCCTGGTCTGGAGGGTAGATGGGTGTAGGCACCTGCGGGCGGGGCCTGAGCGCGGCACGAAGGGCTGAGGGCGAGGGCGCCCGCGTCTTACCGGAGATGGAAAGCGAGGTCCTGGGCACCGAGCGGGGGACGCGGCTGGACACCTGACCGCTCAGCACCGCCAACAGCAGCAGCGGGAAATGCGACCCGGAAGGCGGCCCGGGGCCCGGGCGGGGCCGCACGGCAGAGGCTGGCATCTTTGGCTCCGCCTGGCCGCCGGGTGGGGCGCACTCCACCGCTTCAGCTCAGGGCCGCGGAACCGCTGGCCTTGTTCTCTCCAGTGTCTCCTGGTCCGGGCTCGACCTGCTGCTGGTGGCAGACTAAGAGCAACCCGGCTCCGCCCTTTCAAGAGGGGACCAATGGCCGTGTTGATTTTCTCCTCCAGCCAATCAGGGTTGAGGGGATCACAGGGCTATTGAGATGAGATGCCCAACCCAAGCAGAGGCGGAGCTAGACCCAGGTATAGGTGGGAGTTCTTCCTCCGAATTGGTCTAGACGTGTCACGCGAGGACTGCTAGTAAACTTTTCACAATATCACACTTATATTATCTTTAATTCAGAAGCTAAACCCTGATATTTTCTATTTTATTATATTTTATTATATTTCATTTTTTTAAATGACGGTTGCAGCCCACTAACTTGATTTTAATGCCTATTAATGGATTGAGTCCCCCGATTTGAAAAAAATCACAGCCCTAGGCAGTCTAATTTATACCAATTTAGTTAATATCTCTTTCTAAATTCACAACTCCAGTCCATATTTCTCTTTTCAGGTTCTGACACAGGCATTCAACTGCCTGTTGAACAACATCTCCACTCTGTGTGCCACAAGCACCTTGATTTCAACATGTCCAAAACTGAACTGTCAACCTCATCCCCACACCAGCTCGGGTAATGGGTACATGGCAGAACCAATGTTTTCAGTCTCTGTATATAGTATCACTATTTTTCCAGCTGTCCAAGCCAGAAACTTTGCATTCATTTATTCAATAAATATTCATTAAATGACTATGTTCAAGGCTCTATCATTCTGGAATCCTCCTAATCAACCCAGTCAATAACAAAGCCCTATTAATTTTAACTCTTAAATATCACCACCACATCTCTTCATCCCCCTACCAACATCCTAATTCAAGCCACCATCATCTCTTGCCTAGGCTACTTCATACTTCAGTCTTGTCTCCATCACCATCCACCACCACCCTAACTCCAGCCCCAATCCATTCCCCTTAGGACAAATAAAATGTTCTCACCAGTACACTAATCAGATCATATCATTCTTCTGCTTAAAACACTTCAGTCCAGCTCAATCCAAAATCCTTAATACAGTCCACAAAATTTTACATGTTCTGGCCCCTTGCCCTACCACTTCTACATACTAATCTTCTGGACTGGTTGAGTTTGTTCATTCCACCAGCATTCCTTCTGCATAGAAGGCTCTCCATGCCCCTTGTTTGGCTAACTCTTATTCACTCTACTGATTCAGCTCAGAATGATAATACCTTCCTCTAGGAAGTATGCTCCAATCCTCCAAGTCTGTGCTTTACTATGTGCTCCCATAACCTTGCACTTCCCCTCCTGCAGCATATACTACACCACATTGCTATTGCCTAAGTACTTGTCTACCCGCCACAGACTTTAAGCCCCGGGAAGGCAGGGGTGATTATATTCTCAGAGCTTAGCAAAGTGCCTCACATAGAGTAAGTAGTCAGTAAATATTTGGTGGATGTTTGTTTAACACCTTTATTAGTGCCTATTACATTGTCCAGAATTATCTGTTAAAATATTCATGTGTTAGTCTGGGTCCTCCAAGAAGCAGAGACCAAGATGAGATTAAATATACAAAGATTTTATTAGACTAATCACAGATGAGAGAACATGGTGAAGGAGCCAGGAGAGGCGCTGAGAGCAGTCAGATGTGATACAAGTCTGACCCCAAGTGAAGAAGAGGGGGAAGGAAGCATCCTAGACTGTAGGAATCCAGTAAGGCTGAAGAGGAATCACCACCCAAAGCTGTCCATTAGAGAGGAGTTCTGTGTCTCCCAGTATCAAGCCTGCCTTAGCATCCCCACCACATTGTCACTGGCTGGGAGCAGCCTGTAGAGAGTGTGTCTCCATGCAAACATGGCAGTGGGGATTCTAAGGTAGCAGCTGATGCCCTTGGTCAATTATCCTCCTTGTAGTTGAAAGCATGCAAGGTACTTTCTCAGCAATCACAGTTCGTCACCCTCAGCGTTCAGTGGGGTCTTCAGGAAATGTCACAGTCTCCCAAGTCTGGCATAGGCCTTAGCACATTTTTCAGTCAATGCTACTCCAGATGGGTTAAACAACATGTAGGGAGTACAGGAGAAATTTATTGCAGGTGGGAGCAGTGGGTGTTCTTGTTTGGAGCTGAGTGAAAATATTGTTGGAGTTGAACCTGGTAAGGTAGGTGGGATCAGTTATAATAGATCTTGTAACCAAAAAGAAACACGATTTTTAAGCCAAAGAATGACATGACCAAACATATTTTTACAAGAATAATTCTAATATCAGTGTAAAAGATAATGTGGAGATTAGAGACAGGAAGACTAATTTGGATTATGTAGAAGACCTGTTGAGAAACTACCCTTTATATTAAAACACAGGAAGTGTTTTAATATAAAGGGTGTTTTAATATAAACATTCGATTCCTACACCTGGGACACATGGGTTAAATATTTCTGGTTTTATAACAAGGAGCAGTTGAGAGGAACAAAAGTGAGTGAAAGGGACTAGAACATAGGCTGGTGATTTTTTTCCTGTTTGTTCTACCCTGTCCTGAACTACTCATTGGTAAATTGACTTCCCCTCTCTCAGGCAATAAACCGAGGCGGTTGGGGGAGGGGGTTGGGAGACAAACAATAATAAAGATGAAAATGGGAGGAAGTGCTTGTCCATTTCTGATTTAATACTAGCATTATCTTTTCCTCTCCTATATGTAGACTAATGAGGAGAAAAATTCCCGTTTAACCAGGCAGGGTTGAAGAAGGACCAGGACACTCCTATTTCAACTGGATTGTGTCAAAGGACTATAGGGATCAACAAAAAGTAAATGAAAATGAGCATGAGGATAGAAGGGCGACTCTCATGGAGTTGCGGAGATTTGAAAAGGCTTCACAGAGCTTCCTGAGGGAAGACTAACCTCTAATTTCCGTGAGAGCGGGGACCGTTGGTGTGGGTCCTCTGTGCCCCAGTCCTGGCACGGCGCCTGGCCCAGAGTGTGCCCTCGACAAATACTTGTTGAATAAAAGATAGGCTGCCAAACGAATGAATGAATGATGTAGAAGAGAAAGGTTAAAACCAAGAACAAGACAGGGGGGGCCACTAGAATGCTTCGTGGGGGGATTGCTGAGAAGTGTCAAGTTTAGCATAATATTCTCCACAAAAATCTAAAACTCTACCAAAGGCACAGAAAAGCTGTGCTCCCCAAAACCCGGGGCTTAGCGACTGAGGTGGACCCTGACGCAGCTCGCGCCGTGAGCCGCTGCGCCGAGCCGCAGCCGGCCTGAGGGGGGCGCCTTCGGCTGCGCAGGCGCGCGCGCGGAGCCGCTGGGCTGCGTACTGGGTTCTTTGCCTCCCCACGCGGGCGCTTCTCCACACCTCAGGGTAGGAGAAGGCTAAAAAGCGCTGCTAGGAGGAAACTGGAGGGAAACGGGAGAAGCCACTTCGAAGGCTGGGCTTTGGCCAGCTCGCGTCCGCCCCCAGGCGAGTGTTGGCAGCTCAGTCCGTAGGCAGGACTGCTGCCCCGAGGCCAAAATCCACCGCGGGTCAGGGGCGGCCCTGGCCCAGGTTTCTGAGGGCTGGACAGGCTGACGCCCTGTTTCAGGGGAGGGCTCTCCCAAGCCTGGGGACCGGGCCACCATTGCGTCAGTCATGGTGGGCACCCTGCCTTTGACCACGACACTTTGAGGGGCCCCCGAAAATGTTCTAACTTCTTGTAGGATCAGAAGAAAACCATGAAAGGATCAAAGAAAATGTGTTGATTTTTTTTATGTCGGGAAAAAAGTGAAATTTTTAGGGCACTCAAAAACTTACTAATTAATTTTTATTTTTTCAACGGGGACGGGCCCCAGGAAGACAAAAGTGCGTGGGCTCCACGAAATTTTTAATTCAGAGTTGCAGGAGAGAGAACCATTGGATGATTTATCACACATAAATTATCCTAAAGGCTATAAAAGCATGGTCTAGGCGCTTTTATGAGGGCATGTAAAGTGGCCCCAACCTATTAAGACCTTCTGTTATCTAAAGGATGAATAGGACTAAGGAGGGGAATGTTCAGAAAAGAACAACAGTGGGAACCATGGAGGACCGCAATCCGTGAACTTGAACGGTGCCCCAGGGACCAGACAGGGTGGAAGGGGGTTGAGCAGGGTTGGCGTGGCATGAGAATGGAGAGTTGAAAGGAGACACAGTACAGAATTTCGGAGCCAGAGTAAGGATTTTGGATTTTGTCCCAAGTGCAATTGGAAACCATTGAAGGGATTTTAGTAAGGGAGTAACTTGATGGCTTTGGGTGGTGGTTCAAGGCCCAGTTCCAGGTTTAACCAGTTTGTAGGGGGATACCAGTAAGTGGGTGTTCTTGGCAAAAGTGAGGAGTATAGTGTAGGGTCAGAAATAGTCAGATGCTGCTTAGTACTATGCCCAGACGCCTCAGATGCATTAATTAATCATGTTTGAGGATATAGGGAAGAAAGCTGCCTCTTACCTCATTTAAAGCACAGTCTTGGAATTGCACACACTGTGAGATCTAAAAATGACTGTGCAAGCTGAAACCGTTCAAAGTAATCTTAATAATCAATGGGGAAAATTACATATATTCCAGGACCTCTCAAAACTGTTGTCAAATGTTAAAACTCTCTTCTTGTCAGTTATAAGTGTACAGGGAAATGAAAAATAATAAAACTAGTATCTATTTTTACACTAATTTAAAACATTAGAAACATTGAGAATTAAAGTGTCTTCTTTGTAAAAATTTTCAGTAGTAGTTTGAATAGTGCTTGTTCTTGTCTTCTTCTCAAGGCATAACTATGATAGAGCAAGCATCTTTTCTATGCCTTAGGAAATTGTTATATTCCTAAATTTGAACCAGCTTCCAACATTTTATCCTTCATGCTCTAAATTTTGTAAAATATCTGGAAGGATCCCTTTAATAAGAAGCTTTTTTGCCAGTGGCACTTTGGGATCTTTTTTTCATAACCACTTTTTTGGTTGATAAATTCACCTTCAATAAGTTCCTCTGGCTATTGATCTAGTGTCTATCAAATGATGTTGTCA